ATATTTAGTGGTTTAATAGTTAGCCCTGACTACAAGTAGAAGCCTCGGCAACTGCGCTATAGTAATTTATTTTGTTACTATTAAAAAATTATTACTAATAAAGATATGAGCAAGGCCTCACCTTAAAACCTAAAAAAAATAAAAAATAAAAAAAAAATACTATAATAATATTTTTAATTTTTTACTATTAATAATTATATCTTTTTTATATATATTTTTTTTTTTAAATTTTAAATTATTTATAATTATTTGATAATAGTTTTTTTGATCTAGTTTTTTTATTAAAAATTTCTTTTAAGTTATTTATCTTGTTTTATTATCTTTTTTATTTTAAAATTAATTTTTCTAGTTGCAAATTAGCTTATATTTTTATTTTATAAAGCTGCTTTATATTATTACTTTGATATAATTTTTTATATTTTAGTTTAGTTAAAAGTATTTTAAACTTTTAATCTTCATCTAGTACAAGACCTTTAAGTATTTTAATTTTTGATTATTATTTTTTTCTTTTATTATTCTTTATATTAATCTTTTGAAATATTATTTAATTATTATATTTAAATATTTACTCTTTAATATTATAATATGATTTTTGTTAAATTTAGTAGATTGTGATATTGCAGGTTAATATACGTTTAAAAATTATTATTAGTATTAGAATAAGTGTTAGAAGGCATATATATGCAAAATTAAATGTTGAAAACTTTTAATTAGAAGCCCAAGACTAGTTTATATAATGTAATTTCGAGATATTTAAAATTTTGATTTTTTTCTTAATTTTTTCTAATTTTTCGTTTATTTTTGTTACACAAGATCCTGTGATTTAATTGGTCGATCATATTAACCTGTGATATAGTAACCTGCGACATTTAACAATATTCTATAATATACTTGACTCTATTTAGTTTTAATCTTTTTTATATATATAAAACTAATTGTTTGTCTTTTTTAATAATTTTATTTTTGTTATTTATACATATCTCCAATCTATATCTACTTTAAAATCTAAAATTTTTTTATAAATTATTTTGTTAAACTTTTTACTACTGTATTAAATCTCTTTAATATAGTAAGATATTTGATTATAAAAATTTTTATAAATCTATCTATATTTTTTGATTACTTTTTTCTTGCTAATTTATTGCTTTATTATTTAATTAATTTCTACTATTTTTTTAATTTAATTAGTTTTAATTTTACCTTTTTTATTTTTACTACTTTAAGATTTTTTATTCATGTTATAATATTTCTATCTTAACTATTACTTGCCTGTTAGATTTATTTTCTTTCTTCTATACTTGCTATTACAGCTATGCTAGTTGTATAGATTTTATTTTTTCTTAAGATTACTAGAAGTAAATATCAAATTGCTAATAGCTTAAATTTAGTAGATAATAACCGGTTTGTAATTTCTATATAGCCATTCTGAGAACTTCATTTACTTTGTAGCCATCCTATTTTTATAGAAAATTTATTAGTTTACACGTAGTGTTTATACACGGGTATAATTTATTAAATTACAGATTCGTGTAACATGTCAATCAAAACAATTTTCACAAACGAAGAATTAAACCCTTGCTTATGGTTAGGGTAAGGGTGGATTTGGGATTGGGAGAGGTATAGCCTATACCAAAATTTCACAAGTAATTTTTTTTTGTTAGAAGCCAAAAAGTGGTTTTTTAATTAATATTCTGAGATATCTATATTATCCGTGTACATACACCCCGTGTACAAATAGAAATTCTCATTTTTATAATATATGGTTCGTTTGTTTCTTCTTTTTAACCTTTTTTAGTAAACTTCTGTGTAGTGGCAATATATGATTGTCTTGATTCCAACTATTATAATTATTAGATATAGTATATTAATTATACTTATTGCTATTTTATTACACTTTTCCAATTACTGTGATTAGCGAGTTCTACATATTACACCGGGAATCTGAAATATAAAATAAATGCGAATACATGATTGGCTAAAAATTATTTCCAACCAATCACAGATTTGCATTTATTTTAGATTTCTGATTCTCAGTGTGAATCGTGAAATTTGCTGTCAGTAATTTGAAAAGCGCAATAATTTGGTTATCATACCACCATCATGGATATTCTCATTAGCATGTCTGTTTTTTTTAATAGTTTTAGAAATAATTATACTTGTATTGCTTATGCTCTTTATACATTACTTCGACTGATGTTAATACCAATTATACGCAAGTTTTGAACCTTTTACTTTTGGCTGTTTATTTATTAATAATTAGTAAAAAATGTTAGATATTATATAAAAATTTAAAACATATTAAAATATATTTGGTGTATAGATAATAGTTTACCTACTACTTGGAATTATTGTGCAAACCCTATTCTAGTCTTATTGATGGTCACATTTTTCTTTTTTACTGTTATCTACTTGTTAAATTTATTTATTGGATCATTAAATAATTCTATAAAAGCTTATAATAATAGAACTGAATATTTAATTCAAAGGCTAAAGTAACAAATTTTTTATAAACTTAAATTTTAACCAATTCATTTTCTTTTTTTATTATAGTATTGACAGAAATATAATTGGTTTGATTTTTTTCGAATCAACGAAGATAGCACCATTGGTTTCCAGAATGCAAGTCAATTTTACATAAGTATTAATCAAGGATAGATGCTAACCTAATAAATACATTTTTTAATAGTTGCTATATTGTGCATAGAGACAAGGTTCATAGTAAAATTATAGAAATTAATAATGATAATAATTTGCCTGATGATGCAAAACCAATTATCAGCAAAGAGCTTTTAAAGTTAGCCGAATAAATATAGAATCTAATAAGTTAATTTAATTAGATAATGATGATAATAAAAAGTTTTTGGGATTAGTTAAAGAGGAATTAGTTAAAGAGAAAGATGCTTGAGTTTTATTGATTTATCTAATATTGAACCTCCCATGAACTGCCTTCTCACCAGTATCCAACACAATTTTTTCGATTTCTTGATCACAATGTACTTCATCATTAATGTATTGTTCGGCACGTTCATAAATGCTAGCCCATTCGCGTCGGTATTCTTTTAACATAGATTTCAAGAACCATATGATCATACTAGTGGTCCATACTGTTTTATCAATATTTAAGACACGATCTTCGCAACAATGTGATTTGTATAAATCGAAGAGCTTCACTGGTGATTCATACCCAAATAAATTGGCTAATGTATTTGAAGGTGGAAAACTTCCATTTAGTGCTTGTAAAGCGATGATAACGCAAAGCGTTGATAAATTAAAAGGATTTTCCTTAAGGTCCGAAAGAAAATCAGGTGTTGGTATTGGAAGAGGTTCAAGAGAGAAAAATTTTGCTCTATAATGAATTTGACCCTTAGTTGAAAGTTTCGCCCAACTAAAATTCAAATTATATGTATTAATGTTATTATTTTATTTTTTTTAAAATATCTAAACAATAGTTTTCACTTACATATCGATGTCATTTTGTGTGCCTTCATAAATACCTTCAGAAATTTCTTTGACAAAATCTCGATTAACCTCAAAATGATAATTTCCGAGCGATTTATCTTCCGTACTAGAACAGTAGTCCATCACATCGAACATGAATTTGTCGCCAATATTTTTAATTGGAAGATAATGAACTTCATTCCAGATGGGATCCAAATCATTATCAATAATTTTAGTTTGCGTAACAGTTTCTTTGCTAGCCTCATTAAAAATTCGAATATAAGACTTTCCTGAATTATTAGATCATAACGTATTAATAACTTACTGGGCTAATAAATTATAATGTAGAGTTAGGATCCTTTGAATATCCATCACAGCTATTTAATGAATATTCACGGATTTTAGTCGTTCGCGAATAAATATTCGGAGAAATTGCAGTTATTTATAGAGAATTCGCGGATATTCAGAGAATCCATGTGATTGCGTTTCTCATATTTATAGGGATGGAAATTATACGGTATAATAAATTTTGTATAAATACCAGGTTACTTTACCGTATAATTACCGTATAATAATAACCTTATATATAATACCTAGAAAGTACCGTACGGCACTGATTATAGTACCCGGTGTGACACGATTTTTTTCATAATGAAAAATTAAAAATCACGTTAATTAACAATTGTTTACATCACATGTCACATATAAATAATATTTTAAAAGATTGTCACGCCGGGTACTATAGTCAGTGCCGTATATGATACATATAGATTTGTCACGTGCTCACATTCTGATGAAAAATTACATCTAGATTTCTATTGGTTAACTGTGTTACACTAAAATATTATACCAATTATACGGTATTTTATTAATTGTCGGGGACGATGCTGAAATTTTGGCTTAGTTTATTTTTTTTTATAGTTCGATTAGAATTTAGGGTTAGGGTTTGTAATAAAAAAGTATAGGTGGATTTTAGTAAGGTTTATATTTTCAAATTAAGACTCCAAATTTCCGCACCATCCGATTTCAGCATCATCCCCGACATTAATTATACTATACCAATTATACGGTTATTATACCATTTTTATTATACGGTATCGTATAATTGCCCATCCCTACATATTTATCAAGTGAATTGCTACCGACACAGCAAAACAAGTGCTTATCGACACAGCAAGTGGCACTAACACAGCATGACCAGCACTATATTTAAGGTTAGTGCAGAATTAGGAATCATGTCACGTGTTTTGCTGTGCCGGTCGTTTATCAATTTTTGACTGTATTACCGGATTTTGTGTAACAGAATATTCATTGCTAATTGAATATGTGAATATTCACGGATCCCAACCATAAATTAACATTCAGTTTACCTTTAGTAAAGGAAGAATCGATGTTTTTGGCACTTATTAATTCTAGTCTAATAATACCGATAATAGCACAATCTAGTGATATAATCGTTAGTAAAGTGATGGAAAAGTAACAATTTTAAGCATCTTAATTTTATATTTGTATCCTACCAAGATGTTGTTTCTTATGAACAATAACAAATTTAGATCTAAGGTCGTCTTTAAAGTTCTTCGATTTAGTATTGGTGAGAGTAAGATATGATCCATCTTTCACAGCTGTTCCTTTAAAGAGGACCTCAATCACGAATTTAGGATTTTTTCTTAACGCTATATGTCCCTCAGTGGTAAGGATCCAACGCTGATTATTAGATTGATTCGAATTTCTTTTTTGGTGAACACTGAGATAGGTCCCTTCTTTCACTATAATAGTAAAGTTGATTTATTATAGTTTAACGCATACTTCCACTATTGTAAATCCTTACCTGATTCCACTTCTAGGCATAAATTTGTTTGCTTGTTAATTAGCAAACCATTTTCATGATGCCAAAGTTGATGGCCATCTTGATCAACGTTCTTTTGTTGGGCGATAATGGCTTTTGTTCCATCCTTGACAATACACCAAGGCATGCATAAACTGCGTTTAATATCGAATACCATGTTTTGAGCGGATGCGGATGAAGTAGAAACATCAGACAATGAAATAGCCGATTTTATATAAAAATCACCCGAAGGAAATTGAAGACTATTGTCTTTTTTGCATCTTTCTTGAGAGGCTTTAGCTTTAGGTTCTTCTACTTTTGGTATTTCATCTTTTTTGAGATCAATTTCATCTCGTTTCTTTTCGTCAATAACTTTATCTGTAGTTTTATCATTTACATACTCATCAACAGAATCAAATACTTCTATTTCAACTTCGGCATCACCAATTTGTTTAGAAAGATAGTCACGAGCTTTATCATATTTCTCTACCCAATCATCTTTATATTTAGACGCTGCATCTTTCAAATATGAATGGTTAATTGCAGTTGCAAGACTTGATGAAAACTCGGGTGATTTGGTTTTTGGGTAAGTAATTTTCGTTTTAATTATTTCAATTGTATCAAAACCTATTCCTTTTTTGCGTTCTGCTTTTTTTAGTCTTTCTATTTCGTTTTCTTTTCCGAGTATTTCTTTTTTTAATTCCACTTCTTTTTGTCTTTCGAGATCTTTAAATTTTTCATTCATCATCGCTTTTTCTCTTTTTTCAAGTTCTACAAAACATTGATTCTCAGGTTCCTTCACAAATTCTATTATTAATTTTTTTTCACCACCCTTTTTAAGTTCTGTATCTTTTTTGTTTTCATTGTTTTGTTTTTCAAGCTCTATAGCTAATTTTTTTTCATGCTCATCTTCAAACCCAAAAGCATTTTGCATTTTAGGTATTTGATATTTTTCTGCGAACAATTTTTTCTCAATTTCTTGCTTCTTTTTTTCATGATCCTCAATACTTTGCGTTTCAACTGCAGTAAAACTGTTTATTTGAACAAAATAATAAATAACTAGCATAATATTAAAAATTTTATGACTGAAATCATTAACATTACCTAGTATATTTGGAACTAAGATTATAAGATTTTGCCAAATTCACAATTTGTTTACGAATATATTCTTCATTCTTTGCATGATTGGGATAATAATTTCCATATTCAATTTCTCGAATAAGTTTTTTGGTAGCAAGTGTGTGAATTTTTGATCCCTGTAAGGGAGATTGATCTAATGGAACAATTAAAGGATCTTGAAATTTTGATTTTAATGTGATTTGGTCGCATGGTTTAACACCCTTCTCTAAAATACAATAAATTATTGAACGAACGCCAATGTAAAGTTCTGGGATTTTCAATGGAACTTGCTGAACTTTGAGGCCACTATTCTGAGATTCTTCATTAGGCTCAACGGTCCATGTAATTTCATAATCTGAGATCGGCGGATTTAATGAATTCCTAAGCATGGTCATCGCTTTCTTGTTCATTTGTTCTAAATCGGACACATATTGTGCATATCCCTTTCCGACTCGAGCAATGGATTCAATGAAATGATTTGAAACAATATTATTCATTCCGATTGAAAATATTCTTAAATCGTGTTTTTTTTCTTGATGATCTTTTATAAGTTTAACAATTCGACTTGTATGCGATGTCTCAAAATCTGAGAACAGGAGAACTGATGTTGGCATATCAGAACGTGAATGTTCAAATACCCACTCTAAAGCTTCATAAATGTGTGTGCCACCCTTTGCAGTGATTTTTTGAACTTTTTTGATGGCTTCCTCGACATTTGGTTTTGTCCACTCCCGACTTTTTTCAAAGAAATTATAAATTCTTCTGTGTCCAATTGATAGCACATTAAAGAAGCAACTTTCTGGAATAGAAAGAAGTAAATATTGAAGAGCTTTAGATGCTTTCTCAATAGATCTACCTTTCATGGACCTAGAGCTTTTATGATGATTATTATTACTCAACTGCAATGAGGTAATCAATATAATTTCATTTAACTAGCTACCTATCAATAATAAATATCAATTCCATCTTAATTAAATTATGCTGAATTGAGCCATGTTTGAATGTCGGAACTAAAGTAAGCATTAAGCAATTGGTCTCAGTTATGGGATTATATTCGATAAATGCTCTAAAATTTGAAAAAATGCAAGTTATAACGATAGAATAGCAAATATAATCTATTTCTCAATAAGATTTCTTCAAATGTTAGTTACCGAGGCTTATCAATGTCTTGACTTTTAACAAGAAGTATGAAGTCTTTTTCTAAAAAATGAATATTTTCATTCAAAGTAACTTTAGATATACTTGGTTTTTCTTTTAGTTCAGTAATGTTGTGAGAAGGCGATTTGATACTACAGATTGGTGAATTCATCCTACAAACTATGGAAAACTCGAGAGGGGGAAAATCCAAATCTGAAATTTTATCGAAAAGACGCATCTTTTTGTGATTAAAAATATGCGATCCATATTTTGGAGCAATAGTAGCCGGCAAAGTGAACCGAACACTATCTGTTTCTGCGTCGTGTTTAAGTTCAATCATGTATTTAATTTGAATCTCAATTTTTTGGCCGGGCATAATGTTGCCAACAGAACATTTGAACACTTCTGAATCTTGTTCTTCAAGTAAATAAGCACCATGACCTTGCTTAATAATTTAATAATATACTTTATGTTGATAAATGTTATTGGCATAATATTAATGAAAATTTTTATCATGAAATACGATAAATACTTTAATAGCTTCATCATATTCCTTGGCTTGTTCAGCTTCTTTAACTATTCCTATGATTTTTCTTTTATTATCTATTGTAGCTTCAAATCCGCAAACTGCCACGGTATCGTGAATCATAAACTTATAAACAGCCTTTATTTTATTTTTTTCTATGTTCTCGTATGTCTGAAAGATATTTACTGAGAAAAAAAAAAAAGAAAAAAGTGATTGAAACAAAATTGAGCTTATGCTTAGCTAGATAATAATATTTATACCTTCCGCTACCATATCGATGACTATCAGCATATATATGTGCATTGAATATTAGAATCACTGAAAAATAAATTTTGAGTCATAATGCATAAATAAATCATTACCATGAGCTTCAATTACAACTTTTTTCAAAGGAACGGGCCTTGCACTTTTTTCGTCAGTGGAAATAAGCATTGCTGTCGTTTTTTTTAAAAAAAAATGAATATTAAGTAATACCAATACAGTATCGGAATGTACGCATTTATATTGTAATGTGATGTGGCTTTCAAACAGCTTAGTCCAAATTTTGCAATATCATCGAAAAGCATCTGCTGCATGCATACGTTCACACGTGCCGCATATCACTATACGTAGATGGCAAATTTTAACATATAAATACGTACGTACGTACCAAACAATATCAACATACATACGTACGGTACCTTACTCAGATCATAAATATCGCCTTTTTTAATTTGATTGCAGTCCCCACATCACCACGTTTCTGGGTTCACTAAAATTAAAATGTCGGTCAAGAGTTTACCAGATAATATAATTGAAGAATTATGTAATTTATACAATGTAGAAAGTGTAAAAGCAAAGAAGCCTGTAGATATACTTAATACTTTGGATCAATATCTAAAAGAAAGGAATCAAAAACCAGAGGATGTAATTAATCAGCTCTCAAAAAACAATAAAAATAATCCTATAATTGAAAATATTCTTGCAAATTGCTACCACTTTGGACGATGGGTTAATATGGATAAAGATAAAGCATTCAACCACTATAAAAAATCCTCTGAGATGGGTCATAGTGATGGAACATATAGTCTTGGTTACTGTTATCAAAACGGAATCGGTGTTGAAAAGGACGAACATATGGCATTCAATTATTATAATAAATCAGCCTACATGAAAAATCTTAATGGGATATTTCAAGTTGGCTACAGCTACCAAAATGGAATCGGTGTTGAAAAGGATGAATATAAAGCATTCATTTATTATCAAAAATCTGCTGAAATGGAAAATTCTAATGGAATGTTTCAGATTGGTTACTGTTATCAAAATGGAATCGGCATCGAA